CTGACAACTACCCACACTCACATTGACACCTATGGCAAAATTTCTCCAATTCACCAAACCTTAATGTCTTTGGACTGTGTTACTTTCCTTGTCTTTGCGGCTGAGGAGTTAAGATGCTCATCAAGAACCAGTGACACCCCCACTTCAGCTGGGAGTATTATTGTTTGATGTATTTGAAATTCCCGTCTAGCAACAGGCATCGCAAATTTGTTTATGCTACACACTTGTCCCTGTATTTATAAACAATAAATAAACAAATGTCAGCTGCGTTATTCTTGATTGTGCAACCTGAGAAAAGAAATGTTCTGTTAACATGGACATACTAAAATCAGTTTATTACTGTAAGTGGGAGAACATTTTATTTGTGTCCCAACTTTCTTTCATCACTGACATTGAAAGACTGACTTAATGTGGTCATAGTTAGTGAAATGTATTGGAGAAAAAAACGACTGTAGTCAAAATAATAGTACACAAACTTTATAGGGAAACTGATATTTAACGCTTTCAAACTATATTAAAAAACAAATCACACTGTGCTTTATAGTGCCAAACTGCTGGCATGATCTGTTATTGTTTATTAATACAAGTGTTGGTTATTCTGAAGATTTTCTATCACTTTCCATTCACTACAATACATCCAACATTCAACCTTACATTTATCAAGTTCACAGGCATATCACAGTCAAACTGTGTGCACATTTCTTGTAGTATTCGTGATGACTGAAGATAGTTATTTCATATGAGAAGACAAAAATATGTAAACAATACAAAGCAAACACATCCACAGAGGTGTTGACAAAATGTCCCATTATAGAAATACTGGCACATTTGCTGTGACTATTTACTATTAACCCCCTTTTTTAAAAATAATTACATTCTGACTGATGCACGACAACTTCCTGTCACTATCAGGTGTCAATTGAGAATAAAAGTTCACAGGCCGTGCTCTGCATACATAGAGGGGTTTTGCTGGTTGTGGTATTCTGCTCTAACAACAGTACGTGAGTACACACAGTCTTGTGGCGACTTTCTCGTCGTCTTTCCTGTTTTCGCCTTCCCTTTGGTGAAATCCAGTGCTGCATAGTTCTCTGCCTTTGCTTCCCCATCCTGCAAAAATATGATAAAATGTTTGTGTTAATGCCAAATATGTCAGAGATTAAAGCAATAACATCAAGACCAGTTAAATGAAAATCAACTGTAAAGACTGCGAACATCAGTGGAAGGATTAATTTACAGTGAGCTTAACATACTTTCTTTTATGTCATTTCTCGTCAGTATATTTATACATCTTTATTCCTATTCCAGACATCATTGTAGCAGTTTAACAGTTATTATATTATATAGTATTATGTGTGTCCTGTCTAGAAGATCTGTTAAATGAAAAGAGTTTGAGTAGGCAGAATATTTATCAAATTGGACAACACACTGCTGCATATTTACCAGAAGCATATTTACCCAATTTGACTGATCCACTGTGGACTGGTCATGTCCAAGATGATGGGAAGCACTCATTGCTGCTGTTAAAGTACAAACAGAGCCTTCAGAATGAGTGCACACATGAGGAATATGGTGACTGCTATCATATCAAAAATCACGTGATGTGGTAACAAGCGAAGCACTCTGCGTCTTGCCCTCTTGCTAAATGTTTGCTCATCTTTAAACTCACTGTTTGTAACCTAGCTCTCTCCTAAACCTATCCAAAGTAGTAGATTCACTAACTTGCAGATCTGCTATTGAGCTGCTGCGACCATACCGAAAACTAAAGCGGTGCAGACCGACCCAAACGCTGAGGCGGTCACCATGGCATCCCTCACCCACCTGCTTGAGTCTCATCGAACCGCCATCTCCGAGGACTTCAAACAAACTTTCTCAGCTCTCGAGACCAAGTTTAACAGTGTCATAACTACTGTGACAGTACACGCTGAGAAACTCAAAATTCTTGAGAGTGAAGGTGACACGCGAGAGGTATGCCTGAAGGCTGCCAAGGAAGCTATCACCAAGCTCCAGACAGACCATGCTAAACTAGCAACTAAAGTTGTAGACCTCGAGTCACGGAGCCGGCGCAACAACATCAGGGTAATCGGTGAACCTGAATCCATGGAGGGGCCCCAACCGACAGCTTTCTTCACCAAGATGCTCGAGGAGGTCTTTGGAGGGGTCCTAGATTCGCCTGTGGAGTGTGAACGGGCTCACAGAGCCCTGGCACTTAAACCTCCACCCAACCAGTGACCAAGACCGGTCATCATTCGTCTCCTCAGGTTCCAGGTAAAGGATAAGATCATCCGCCATGCCCGGACCATGAGGGGTAGGCTGAAATTCCGGGACCATCCCATCCTTGTGTTTGAGGATTATCCTCCAGAGGTTGTGGACCAGCGGAATGAGTTCAAGGCAGTCATGTCGGAGTTGTACGAGCGAGGGTTCAGGCCAGGCTTTACATCAAGCTGGAGTTGGGAGGTAGGAAACACTTTCCCACGGTAGCTGAGGCTGATGCCTTCATTGCCTCCTTGCCTACATTGAACACCTAAGATCACAGTTTGCCCAAATCCATGCGAAGAGGATGGCGGACCAGTAGGCTAGGCTTACTGTCGTTTGGAGTAGAGTTCCTTCATTCCGTTTTCCATTGACAGCGGTGATCTGTTTGTCTCTACTATTGCTGATTACGGGAGACAGTCTCTCTATCATGACTTAATGTTTCTAATAGCCTACTCTCCTTTACGGGAGGCTCAAACCTTTTTTACAGGCGGGAGGGCGGAGAGGTGAGAGACATTTTTCTTATCATTTTCAAGAGGCTACTTTTTTGCGAGCCAGAGGTGATGACGGTCACAATGGTACACAATAGTACCAGAATACTTCTTAGTGTGTGTGATGTGTGTATGTGCGTGTGTTTGGTTGTTCCGAGTGTGCTTGCGGCTACCACTGTGTCAATGTCTCATGTAATCCCAGAAAACTCCATGATCAATCTGTACTGTTTATATTATGGGTTTTGATGATTTCAACATCGTTGGAGATTCTCAGCACTGCATTGACGGCCTCAAGGTGTTGCCCTTTATCTCCAACTTTAAAAGACAACTAAAAATAATTTCCTATTAACCTATATCTAATATAAAACTGTTTTCTCATGGACTACTGGGATGTATGTGTATGATTGTATGTGTATGTAATGTTATGTATGTTCTGGTGTGCTTTGTGCGTGCATTAACTTATCATCATCTGGTTACAGGTGGTAACTGTGTATACCATTGTCTGTACCACTACCCTTTCATGAACCATGGGCCCCCACCTATAAGCTTTCCTAGCTTCCTTGGAGGACCCATTCACTCTACCCAATTGATTTTGTACCCCAACTGTATTATTGTAATGTTTGAAGTGGTATTGTGAATAAACTCAAACTCAATAATGTTGTGATTTTTGTCATCCTCTCATTAAAATACATGGCTAAGCAAACAAGAGACTTGAATTGAGTTTTTGACAACAGGGACTAAAGTACAGAGGTGTTTTTTGCCAGTTTTGGCTCCTTCCACCCCGTAGTCTTACAGTACATGTGTTTATTCTTGCCTGGACCAGGACTTTTGAGACAAATTGGGGGCTTAAATTAAGTTTTATAACTAGGTTCGGGAACAAAGACCACACCTTGCACTCATCTTATTTCTGCCCTCTACTTAAGCACACCTTATCTGTTCACTCCCTTCTCGACTCAGGTTCCACATGAGGGGCGTCATACAAGAAACACAAAAAACAAATGCCTCTAACCACTGAAACGAGACCATCCTCAACCGTTCAGACAGCAACATGTTTGAAGACGAATGGCAAACTCCCTCCTCTCTGAGTCTTCTTCTTCGCCTACCATTCCTTCTCGTGCCCCGACACTCCGAGCCTTCATCCACCGACAACTCCAACACCATCAGACCTTCGCCCTCAAACAGCTCCAGGGGAGTCTTTGGTCTTCAGCGTCAGCCACCTAAACTACGCAATCCGCACCATCCCCCAAGGTTGATCCTTCTCGTCACACCTCCTTTCCATAACCTCTTCTGTCCCATCCCTCCACGAACACACCACACCACACCGGACGATGAATGTAAATCAGCTAAAATTATGGCACCAGTTTCTCCCATCACGTAACAGCATTTCATTCTTTTAGACAACCACATCACTAAGCTACAATACATGCCGTTATTCACAGACGCAGTACGTTCCGCTGAAGCTGCCACCCTGGTTGCAGGCGGTTTTCAGCCAAGCGGCTGCTCAAATTCACATCCCTCTCTTCTTCCTCCGCCATCTGCGAAACTTACCCAGTAATCATAGCAGCTATTCTTTGGGGTCACAAATGGTCCAAGAAAATCCTCACCAACCTTACCTCAACAAGGTACCATTCCCACTGCTTTGATATAATGCAGTTCATATGGAGGCTCACCCTAGCCTCTCACATCCCAGGTTGCAAAAAACACAATCGTCAACACACTATCTCATTCTCGTTACAGAAATTAAAACAATTGGCACTAGCTTCTGACGCCGTTCCGACTTCAGTCCCACGGTCTTCAGCCACCGTCTTCTGACTCCCCAAATGGACAATCTGGTCGCCGTTTCCTTTCGCTCAACGTCCTTGCACACTTTAGCTTCATCCCTTTCGCACCTCTTACCATTTTGCCGAACCCCTCTGTCCATCTGCCAACAAACCCACCTTTCTTCCATCCTTTCATCCATTATCCTTCATTCCGATACCCTTTTTCCCTATATCCCTTGATCCCTAAACTCTTCATCCCCTCTTACCCCATCCCTCGACCCTTACCCTCATCCCTCATCCCTCGACCCCTACCCCCATTCCCTCATTACGTGCAATAAACCTTTCTAAATTCCACACGTTCATTGGTGAAATTAAGACTATAGCCACTTCTCCAGGCACCACTACTCCACTGGGCCCCTGTTGTCGCTATTAACTTTGTTTTTTTACAGTTACATATCTGTCTTTAACAGACGTGAAGAGTAAAATATGGTGAACCTACCTTTGCAATGTTCACAAGCCTTCCTTTGATTTATGTAGAAAATAAGAAGAGCAATTACAGTCACACAGCAGGCCAACAGTACTCCAAGAGCAAGGACAACTGGTTCCAGTTCTGATCCTGAATCACAAACATTTCCTAAGAGACATTAAGCATTATTTAATTATGTACTCTTGAGAATAATATTTTTTTATTGAAAATACTGTGGCATTTAGAAAACTACGCTTATCAAAAGCAAAAATTGATAACTCAATGTTCATTATATTGTTTAGTCAACATATCCTCTTATTATTTGAGTACTGAGCTAAATACTTAGCTGATAATAAGAATACTCGATAATTTAATATAAAATCACTCAATAATATTTTTTTTGAAAACAAAAATACACCATATAGGCTATAAAGTAATTGTAAATATCACTATTCGTATATAGTATTAAACAGACTAATAATCCAATCCACTGAAATCAGGTACATATTAACCAGGATAGATGGCTTTATATAAGATACACATATGATTTTAATACAACAGTAAAGACGTACTTGTTTCCACTTTAGTTCCTTCACCAAACAGGATCTCTCCACATGAGACCACAGCACAGTAGTAAGTTCCAGTATCAGAGGAGTTTCTTATGGTTTTGGACAGACTGTAGACACAGCTTCTTTCCTCTTGTTCATCACTGCTGTTCCTGTGAGTGTAAATGACGTCTGGATGAGATTGTCCTGATCCAGCTCTGAACCAGTACACACTGTGTTCACCTGGACACTGGACTCCTTTGTTCCTGTGGAGAAGTGAACACTGGAGAGTCACTGAGTGTCCCGGCTGGACTGATGCTGTCTCTGGACGTTGCTTCACATTCACAGATTTCTGCTGATTACAATCTGTGTGATTCAGTTGAAAAACAATATGAAAGGGATTAACGATCTGTTATTTGTACGACATAAGGATAATTTATATAAGCACAACCACTGACAGATATTTTACCATTCACAGCCAAGAAGATGCCGTTAACAAAACTCTGTGAGTACGTTGCTCCACTTTGACAGAAGTATGTTGCTTCATCCTCTTTGGTGACATTTCTAATTGTAAGAAAAAAGTAAGCGTCCACTTTGGTTAATGTGAAACGTGAGTCTATAAATGGTTCGCTGAATGTTATTTTGCCAAGTATAACAGCAGCGACTGTTTGGACCATATATCCAACAGACTGCTTGTACCAGTGAAATTTGCTTTGATTCTCAGAGGCTGGACATTGAAAAGTAAAAGTCCCACCAAGTTCAACCACAGTCAAAGAGATTTGCTGAGGAACCTCTGCAGTGTGAATCAGGTCTGAAGAAAAGAGACAAACGAAGAGAGTTACAACACCAGAGGACAAAATGAAAAATCACATTGCAGTGCAAAGATTATTAGATGGTCATATAATCCACATAAGCATTATTTTCACACACAGTAAAAACCGAAGTTTGCAGAAGTATGTTTCTCACATCAGATAAAAACTGCACTTACACGTTATGCTAAGAAGAATCAAAGCAGCCAGTCTTCCCATCATTGTGGTGTAGCACCCTTGTCTGGTACTACTGATCTGTCTTCTCACCTAAATGAAGGTTTACTCAGTAGATCATCAGGTTTACACAGCAGAAATCATAGTGATTGGCTGAAATGCAGAAAATGACCTCCCCCTTACATATTTGGCAACCCTGTGATCTATTTTCATTTGATAGGAAATTCACATGTACTTGTTTTTGTATTAATTCCAAAGCGGTGTCTTTATTCAGAATACATGTTTGAATTTCTTGTTTCTGTGATCATTTGTGCTTTATGCTTATTATTATCCGTTCTGGCCTACTGTAGAAACATGGCTGTTCAACTTGGCTTAACTTCTCTCTTGTTTAAAGATCTTGAACCCATATCTGTCTGATTTTCTTTTTGTTTTGTACATTGTTTTTCTTCACAATGTACACAATTTTTGTAGCGCCAATTCATAATAAAAAATAAAAAAATTCAAATAGAGTAGGTCTAGACCGTACTTCTTATCAAATAATTTGTAACAGGCCATCAATATAAATTTCTCCTAAACTGGTGACACAGCTGGAGTTGGGTCGATGTGTAAACTGTTCCAAAACCACAGAAAATCAAGAGATCCGGAGAACTCAGTTTGTGACGAAAAAAAAAGAAAAAGAAATTTGTCTTTAAGAGAAGTGCATTGTACATAGAGTGAGAGAACATTCAGAGTTAGATAGAGTTCTAGATAGAGTTTTTACACACTTAAGACAACAGGCTCCTCTGTTATATTGGTGTTGAACTGAAGAGCATGATACACTTCTTTATATAAGTGTTTACTTCATTAGTATTTCCAGTTTTTCTCTTCTGTCTTGTAGATAAATCCCTCCAACTTTCTCGTCTCTATTTTATTTATTAAAGACCTTCTGCATATCTGTATTGAGAAGAACAAGCAAAGCCACTTGCAGTAGCTACACTGACAGATACAGGCTGTGGTGAGCCATTTCTCTGCCCTTTGACCAACAAGGCTGTTTACTCAGTAGAGACCTGACTATGTGCTTCAACAGGATGTGTAGAGAGGGAAGCATGCTAATTTTAGTTGTTTTATATGGTGGTTAATGTGCTCATTCAAAGAAGAAATAATGTCCATAAACTGTGTTTTTAAAGATGCACCCAAAGGCATTTACAACCATTGAACTTGTTGTAATGTTAATATTAATCAATAATATAGTGTTATTTTAAAACGAGATAAACCAGCAGTCAAACCCAGTTCCCTGAGGCCACAACAGAGAGCGAGAGAGGAAGAAAATCCTGTATGTATTCACACCTTAGTTTGAAGCTTAACCACAACAATGCTAAAGTTTCCATGCATCATTTGTTTGTCAGAGAAAGTACAAAGCAGGACATAAAGTATGGGGGCTTCTGTTTTAAATACAATTTTACAGTTGTTACTTTTCTTGTGTCCACACTTGTCAAACCGGCTTGTTTTGCCTTGTGGTCAACAATATGTTGACCCCGATGAAGACCACAACATGCTGGACTAACAAATACTTTAGCAGGTCTGGCCCTATAGATAGATGTCTGTTTACAGTGTTGTACTGGATGGCATTATATTGTCAGGTGTTCCTGCCCATGTTATTGTGAAGGTGTCAAACACTGTACATACAGTATGGTGGCTCAGGATTATTTCATGTTAATCACCTTGTTAATTGCTGGGTTATTTTATTTGTGGTTTCAGGTTCACATGGTTTCCCTCCCTTAGATAAAAAATATGTAGGTCAGAAACTCTAAATCACATCAAGATGATTGTGTTACTGTGAGACTGTGAGAGTGTCGCTCTGCGGCCTTTCACCAGCCCTCTGAAAAGAAGTGAAGTGAGTGCAGAGGAAGAATGGTTTAACAGCCCTCCTCTTCTCTGTATGCTGTGCTCTTCTTCCTGATGTAAGTGACAGGCAGAGTGGGCGGGTCATCATTGATGATGTGGAGTATCTGAATTGGCTGGCTGGTTCAATATTTAAGAAGGCTCTGCTGTCTTTGTGGCAAGTGGCCAGATACATCTTTTTAAAAACATATCAGATTGATCAGTTAATTCCTGTTTAATTAATTGTTCCAGATATTGTTGTTTTGTTCGTTGTGATTTTCTCTTAGGCCAAGAGACATAGGCCTATATATTCATAGACAAAAGAGGTTAGTGGTATCAGTGCCCTTTTTAAAATAGATATATAGTTATTGAAAAAAGTTCCTAATAAACCTTATTTTCTGTTGTTAAATCATTAGACCTTTCATAAATATGTAGGAGAAACTCGTACATAACATGACCTCGAGGAACGAAGGGACAAACCAAACACTGGCTCTAGATACGGACATTTGCGTTCCCACTGTAGTTTTTCAATCACCCTTGGAAGCGGAGGGTGAAGTGACAGTGTTGTGATCTGTGGCTACACCTATTTTAAAAAGGGCACTGATACCATTACCTCCAAATTCCACTGTACATGGCCGCGACGTGTCCTGGAATATGTGAAATGCATCTCTGAGCAGAGGGAACTAGAAATATCTCCTGATGCCAACTCATATTTTAGGTTCATCCTATTTTCTGGAGTACTGAACATTGTCATTACATAAGAGCCTTATGGGATGGTAATGATTCTTCCAGGTGTTACGAAGGAAACGGATTTATTGCTTGTGAAAAAAGAGATTGTGGAGGTGGGTGTGGTTTCCAATCAGTTGCAGGAGAGAGAGGTGTGAGGAAGGCTTGTGAGAGCAGCGCCAGGTGAGTTGATTATCTCAGCTGAGTAGTAACACTCGCCTCTCTTAATGCAGTAGTGTGCTAGACCTGGGGGGGGACACACATGACAGAAAGGACAACTGGAGCGAACTTTAATGGACTTTTGAAGCAGGCAAAGTGTTGTGTGAGTAGTGTGAGTGGCTGAGTAATAAATAAAGTGGTCTGGATTATTAACCTGTGTTGTGGGTTTGTGTGCTGAGAGAACCCACGGTAGTAGCGAGACTTGCTACAGAGATTTTGATGGCAAAATACATTGAAAATATAAATTAATGATGTCCATTAATTCCTGATAGTGGACACCTCGTCAGCTACTATCCTTACATAGCCTGGTCCATTGGAAATACATTGGAGATACATTCGTATTGAACTTTCGTGTTGCAACACTGAATGCCCAGCTAAAAGAACTAAGCTACAACCCCAATAACACCACAGTGAATGACAACAATACAAAAGATGTACAAGACAAAGTGTTATATTGTGTCATATTGTCTCATCCACCCTTGTGTTCAGGTGAATGATCTCAATGATTACTGTAGTTTACATTACAATCAAATCAAATGATCTGTTATGTTTACTCTGTGTCAGTTATTGAAACCCACCCTGAAACCTGAAACAAAAGCTGCTGTCGGGGTTGTTTCATGTGTTTAGGTTGATTTTATTTCCACTGTGGTAGTACAGTGAAACGCAAACATGACAAGAGGCCAATCAGATTGCTCTGAAATTGTTCCCTCCCACTTGGTATGATTACATGAAGATGAATCATCTTTTAATATGATTTATTCTAACTGCTGTCTCAAGTGGAATAATCAAAAATGCTGATCATATGTTATTTACTGCTGATGCTCAGAGTGGGGCGTAAGTATATAAAGTCAGCTTCTTTCCTATATATTCAAAGTATATAGTCATCTTCTTGGATCAATTTAACACATGGCATACATGAATATATCTTTTGTTAATCACTGCTACATTTAATTTGATCTTTAGGATGCACGGACAGTCTGATCTTTGAGACGAAGACTGTTGGTGTTGGATACAATGTGACTTTGACATGTACCCGCCAGGCATCTGAGCCCAAAACAAGGTTGTTTTGGATCAGGCTAGTTTCTGGAGATTTGCCTGAATTGTTGGGAGGAACGTACACCTTTGATTTTGATGGCGTTAACAAGACTCCTCGCATTACAGCAAAACAAGAGCCTGGAGCATTTGTCCTGCATATTAGTCAAACAAATCTAAGTGATACTGGAGTTTACTACTGTGTCAAAGTAAAAGAACTTGACATGATATTTCTGAATGGAACATTTCTGAGAATTAAAGGTAATAGCAGCTTACTTTTCATAATTTATAGAAAAGTTTACAACATTTTAACATTTTTAACTCCTTTTATTTTCATTATAGTGAGTAAAGTGTGTTTATTTTTGTCTTTGTTTTTCCCCAGGACCAGAACCTGATGTTACTGCCGTCGTTCAAGTCCCTCCATCTGATTCAGTCCGTCCAGGAGACCCAGTGACTCTGCAGTGTTCAGTCCTCTCTGACTCTGAGAAGAAAACATGTCCAGGAGATCACAGTGTGTTCTGGTTCAGAGCTGGATCAGATGAATCTCATCCCAGTTTAATTTACACTCATGGAAACAGTGGTGATGAATGTGAGAAGAGTCCTGAGGCTCACTCTCCACAGAAATGTGTCTACAACTTCTCTAAGAATGTCAGCTCCTCTGATGCTGGGACTTATTACTGTGCTGTGGCCTCATGTGGAGAGATATTATTTGGAAATGGAACAAAACTGGACACTGAAGGTAAGTTTGTGATTGTTCTGTTGACTAGAAAATGGGAAAACATAAAAAAATCATAAAATTCATAAAGATCAACTATTAACAATTTTAATGTATAAAATCCTTTATCAAGTAAGTGACATTAAACACAATTTAATTTTACTCTTTGTTCATTTTCATTCGTTTTTTTTCCCTTTTGTTAATGTTTCAGGAACCAGTACGTGGTCACAGACGGACAAAGCAGTTGTTTTTCTGCTGTGTGCTGTCTTGGTTATAAGTCTGATTGTTTTAGCCGTCCTCATTTACGCCATTAAGTGTGACAACGGTAATAGAAGTCACTCATAGTTCTCCATACAACGCTATTAAATTAAAACTACTGCAGCCTTATTTATTGTTTCCTATATATTTTCTGTTTCATAATCCAGCTGCTGTTCCTCTGCAGAAAATCAGTGGTGGTCAGAAAAGTCAACAGGTAAAAAAAATTAAATGGATAAAATGTATTAAAACATTTATGAAGGTTTATTTAACTTTGTCATCTCATATATTCTCAGAGAAATGAAGACGTGCAGGTTTATTCTGCTGTCGTCTTCACCATGATGAAAACTGACAGAGGTGCAATAAAGGATGCAAAAGCAGCGGAGAGAGAGAGGATCTACACTGCTGTCAAGGCTTTTGGGTTGGATTAGTGAGTGAACAAGCCTGTTTGTCTTCAGTTTGTAATGTATGATCTAGTTGATGGTAGTCTGTTTACAGATAAAGGGTTTGTTATACACAATGTGACTAACGCTGTACATATTATCATTCTGAATAAAGGTTTATCCATACATTTGAAACTAGTTAGATTGAAATAGACTAAAATGAATTGAAAGTGTGGTTGAAAATGTCCATTGTATATACCTTACTTGTTTTTACTTTGTTATAAAGACTATTAATGTTTTAATATACACCATTTTGAATTAAGGCTTGGCCAAACATTTGAAACTAGTCAGGTTCAAACAGATATATTTAAAATAATTAAGAAGTGGTGCACACTTTTAGGTATAATTAAAGATGTCCCAATCCTATCTCAAAGATCGATATCAGTGTTGATTGAGGCATTTTTTAACTGATCGGAATCAGCTGTATTGAGCCTTATTGACCAAATCCTGATCAGTACCCTTCATTGCATGCCGCTGAAGGTGGACTTACATGGTGATTGTTAGTAAACTGTTTTGGAGGAAAAATCTAATGTGGTCTAAATATAAGACCAAGAATTTATTAAGCATGCACCTATTCGATCCACTGGATCGTTGTTGACATTGATATATTAGGGGGACCAGATATCAGAAAGGGAGAGAGAGAGAAAAGGCAGTATCAGCCTGTATCTTGTATTGGAACCAGAATCAGAATAGGTAAAGTCCAATCAGAGGATATTTGAAAGTAAGTTAATTTACTCATCATGCATGAATCTGTAATGGCAGTAAACCAGTTGGAATTAATTGCGTTAAGAATTTATGCATGTTGCTGTTTCTTTATTGTTTTTCTTATGTGACCATGCAAAGTATTTGTAAACATGTGATTAAAAAATAAATGTGTGTGCTAAACTGTTGTTGTTGAGGTTATCTTTGATTGTACCGAACAAGTGTTGATTATTCTGAAAATTTCTAAGCATTTGGTAGAATTACTGAAATTCAACTTTCTAGACATCTTTCTGGTTAACAGACATACTGTCCGTGGTTCTCTCGTAGCATTTTACTGTCTATTTAATTTCTGCAAGCAAAATTCTTCTCGACGTGAACTTCCCTTTCAATTGATTTTTTTTATTAATAATGAGTGAAGTTACACGTAATCCAATTTTTATGTCAATTCCAGATGCAGTCCGCAGACATTTTCGGCAACATGTTCCTTTACAGACTTACTAGTGCTATGTCTATTTATTAACAGCAACTCAAAAGCTTGACCTCTGTTTAAAAAAAAGAAAAATCACATTCTGACTGATGCACAACGACTTCCTGTCACAGTCAGGTGTCAATTTAGAATAAAATATGTAAAATGTTACATGTGAACACTAACTAAGCTGAGGCCCTTTGAGGAGACTTGGGGATCAGTTCACAGGCCATGCTCTGCGTACATAGAGGGGTTTTGCTGGTTGTGGTATCTGCTCTAACAACAGAGTATACTGCATGCTGTATTTACCACAAGCTTATTTACCAGATCATTTGACTGATCCACAATTGACATGTCAAGATGATGACCCACACTCATTGCTCCTGTAAAATTAAAACAATAATAATATAGTATTTCCTTCCCAACATTTATTGGACAATGGAACATTGTTTGAAAAAATAATGTTTAATATTCAAATGATAAAGCATGGTGACTTCAGTGACTGCAATACCTGTGGTTAATATATATATTCTCTTTTTCATTTGGGTTCTGAGCCATATACATATGCATAATGAACAACTGAATAATAACTGAATATTTTCTTCCAAAAACAAAAAAAATCTACTACTTGAAGTTCAACAGACAAATAATCCAGCCCGCAAGAAATCAGTTACATCTTAAGCCGGGTAATGGCTTTATGCAAGATGCATATGTGAATATATTAAGATGTACTTAGTTCCTTCACCAAACAGGATCTCTCCACATGAGACCACAGCACATTAGTAAGTCCCAGTATCAGAGGAGTCTGTTATGGTTTTGGACAGACTGTAGACACAGCTCCTTTCCTCTTGTTCATCACTGCTGTTTCTGTGAGTGTAAATGACTTCTGGATGAGATTGTCCTGATCCAGCTCTGAACCAGTACACACTGTGTTCACCTGGACACTGGACTCTGGTTTCTTTGTTCTTGGGGAGAAGTGAACACTGGAGAGTCACTGAGTGTCCCGGCTGGACTGATGCTGTCTCTGGATGTTGCTTCACAATCACAGATTTCCGCTGATTACGATCTGTGTGATTCAGTGAAAAACAGTATGAAAGGAATTAATGATGTTATTTGTATGACAAAAGGATAATTGATATGAGCACAAACACTGACAGATATTGTACCATTCACAGCCAAGAAGATCACCCTTACATATTTAGCAAACCTGTGATCCATTTTCATTTGATAAGAAATCCACATGTACTTAGTTTTTTTTTCTGCTGTGAGAACAGTTTCATGCTGTTCTACTGGTTAATAATTGATTAAATGTATCAATGCATGAAGACAACCACTACTAGCTAGTAAACATGGGTGTAAACAATTCAATTTCAAAAGTGTTCAGAAAAAGTGCTGTTTCGAATGTTACACCTGGAAATTAAACTTGGTTCATTTACAAGACGATTCCACAGGAAGCTTTAAAGGACCAGTGTGTAGAATATAGTGGCATCTAGCGGTAAAGTTGCAGATTGCAGCTTAATGAACATGACTCACATCTGTATTTGATGACCAGGTAATGAGAACAAGCTGTGAAGTGAAGGAGCAACTACGATGGTAGTGAAATTCGCAAAAAACACTCAAGGCCCTATCTACCCTCAGTGTTTGGTTTGCCCGTTCTGGGCTACTGTAGAAACATGGCGGTTCAACATGGCTTAACACCTCTCTTGTTTAAAGAAGATCTTGAACTCATAGTTATAGATAGAGTTTTTACACTAAAGACAACAGGCTCCTCTGTTATATTGGTGTTGAACTCAAGAGCATGATTCACTTCTTCATATTTTGCACTAAAGTGTTTACTTCATTAGGATTTCTAGTTTTTCTTTTTCTCTTCTGTCTTGTAGATAAATCCCTCCAACTTTCTGTTCTCTATTTTAATTATTAAAGACCTTCTACATATCTGTATTGAAAAGAACAAGCAAAGCCACTTGCAGTAGCTACACTGACAGATACAGGCTGTGGTGAGCCATTTCTCTGCCCTTTGACCAACAAGGCCTGACTATGTGCTTCAACAGGATGTGTAGAGAGGGAAGCATGCTAATTTTAGTTGTTTTATCTTGGTGGTTAATGTGCTCATTCAAAGAAGAAATAATGTCCATAAACTGTGTTTTTAAAGATGCACCCAAAGGCATTTACAACCACTGAACTTGTTGTAATGTTAATATTAATCAATAATACAGTGTTATTTTAAAAAGAGATAAACCAGCAGTCAAACCCAGTTCCCTGAGGCTACAACAGAGAGCGAGAGAGGAAGAAAATCCTGTATGTATTCACACCTTAGTTTGAAGCTTAACCACAACAATGCTAAAGTTTCCATGCATCATTTGTTTGTCAGAGGTGATTGTGTTTATTTCTGCAGTTTTGGCCGTATAGATAGATAGAAAAATATGTAGGTCAGAAACTCCAAATCACATCAAGATGATTGTGTTACTGTTAGACTGTGAGAGTGTCGCTCTGCGGCCTTTCACCAGCCCTCTGAAAAGAAGTGAAGTGAGTGCAGAGGAAGAATGGTTTAACAGCCCTCCTCTTCTCTGTATGCTGTGCTCTTCTTCCTGATGTGAGTTACAGGCAGAGTGGGCGGGTCATCATTGATGATGTGGAGTATCTGAATTGGCTGGCTGGTTCAATATTTAAGAAGGCTCTGCTGTCTTTGTGGCAAGTGGCCAGATACATCTTTTTAAAAACATATCAGATTGATCAGTTAATTCCTGTTTAACTAATTGTTCCAGATATTGTTGTTTTGTTCGTTGTGCTTTTCTCTTAGGACAAGAGACATAGGCCTATATATTCATAGACAAAATGCAGTTGTATTAGAGGTTAGTGGTATCAGTGCCCTTTTTAAAATAGATATATAGTTATTGAAAAAAGTTCCTAATAAACCTTATTTTCTGTTGTTAAATCATTTGATAACGTGACCTGGAGGAACAAAGGGACAAACCAAACACTGGCTCTAGATACGCACATTTGCGTTCCCACTGTAGTTTTTCAATCACCCTTGGAAGTGGAGGGTGAAGTGACAGTGCTGTGATCTGTGGCTACACCATTACCTCCAAATTCCACTGTACATGGCCGCGACGTGTCCTGGAATATGTGGAATACATCTCTGAGCAGAGGGAACTAGAAATATCTCCTGATGCCAACTCATATTTTAGGTTCATCCTATTTTCTGGAGTACTGAACATTGTCATTACATAAAAGCCTTATGGGATGGTAATGATTCTTCCAGGTGTTACCAGGGAAACGGATCTATTACTTGTGAAAAAAGAGATTGTGGAGGTGGGTGTGGTTTCCAATCAGTTGCAGGAGAGAGAGGTGTGAGGAAGGCTTGTGAGAGCAGCGCCAGGTGAGTTGATTATCTCAGCTGAGTAGTAACACTCGCCTCTCTTAATGCAGTAGTGTGCTAGACCTGGGGGGGGGACACACATGACAGAAAGGACAACTGGAGCGAACTTTAATGGACTTTTGAAGCAGGCAAAGTGTTGTGTGAGTAGTGTGAGTGGCTGAGTTATAAATAAAGTGGTCTGGATTATTAACCTGTGTTGTGGGTTTGTGTGCTGAGAGAACCCACGGTAGTAGCGAGACTTGCTACAAAGATTTTGATGGCAAAATACATTGAAAATATAAATGAATGATGTCCATTAATTCCTGACAGTGGACACCTTGTCAGCTACTATCCTTACATAGCCTGGTCCATTGGAAATACATTGGAGATACATTCGTATTGAACTTTCGTGTTGCAACACTGAATGCCCAGCTAAAAGAACTAAGTTACAACCCCAATAACACCACAGTGAATGACAACAATACAAAAGATGTACAAGACAAAGTGTTATATTGTGTCATATTGTCTCATCCTCCCTTGTGTTCAGGTGAATGATCTCAGTGATTACTGTAGTTTATATTACAATCAAATCAAATGATCTGTTATGTTTACTCTGTGTCAGTTATTGAAACCCACCCTGAAACCTGAAACAAAAGCTGCTGTCGGGGTTGTTTCATGTGTTTAGGTTGATTTTATTTCCACTGTGGTAGTACAGTGAAACGCAAACATAACAAGAGGCCAATCAGATTGCTCTGAAATTGTTCCCTCCCACTTGGTATGATTACATGAAGATGAATCATCTTCTAATATGATTTATTCTAACTGCTGTCTCAAGTGGAATAATCAAAAATGCTGATCATATGTTATTTACTGCTGATGCTCAGAGTGGGGCGTAAGTATATAAAGTCAGCTTCTTTCCTATATATTCAAAGTATATTGTCATCTTCTTGGATCAATTTAACACATGGCATACATGAATATATCTTTTGTTAATCACTGCTACATTTAATTTGATCTTTAGGATGCACGGACAGTCTGATCTTTGAGACGAAGACTGTTGGTGTTGGAGACGATGTGACTTTGACATGTACCCGCCAGGCATCTGAGCCCAAAACAAGGTTGTTTTGGATCAGGCTAGTTTCTGGAGACTTGCCTGAATTGTTGGGAGGAACATTTTCCTTTGATTATGATGGTGTTAACAAGACTCCTCGCATTACAGCAAAACAAGAGCCGGGAGCATTTGTCCTGCATATTAGTCAAACAAAGCTAAGTGATACTGGAGTTTACTACTGTGTCAAAGTAAAAGAACTTGACATGACATTTCTGAATGGAACATTTCTGAGAATTAAAGGTAATAGCAGCTTACTTGTTTTCATTACAGAGAAGTTTATAACATTTTAACAGTTTAACATTTATAACTCCTTTTATTTTCATTATAGTGAGTAAAGTGTCTTTATTTTTGTATTTGTTTTTCCAGAACCTGATGTTACTGCCGTCGTTCAAGTCCCTCCATCTGATTCAGTCCATCCAGGAGACCCAGTGACTCTGCAGTGTTCAGTCCTCTCTGACTCTGAGAAGAAAACATGTCCAGGAGATCACAGTGTGTTCTGGTTCAGAGCTGGATCAGATGAATCTCATCCCAGTTTAATTTACACTCATGGAAACAGTGGTGATGAATGTGAGAAGAGTCCTGAGGCTCACTCTCCACAGAAATGTGTCTACAACTTCTCTAAGAACATCAGCTCCTCTAATGCTGGGACTTATTACTGTGCTGTGGCCTCATGTGGAGAGATATTATTTGGAAATGGAACAAAAATTGAAGGTAAATGCTGAACATTTCCATATAAACCAGTAAAATTCATTATTTTTAATGTGGTAGAATCCATTGTGATGTATCACAAAACATGTATTTCTAATGCACTGTAACATCTGATCAAAGTAACTGTTAACTTGAATTATTTGCTCCTTTTCATGTTGTGTCAGCAGTCAACATGTTGCAGTCCAATCCAGTTCTGTTTCTGTTGTGTGCTGCTTTGGCTATCAGTCTCACTATTATTGCCTTCCTGATTTATACCATCAAGAAGAAAACTTGTGGTTGTTGCAACGGTAATATAAGTTTCTCAAACATCAATCTATCAAACAGTATTTTGCAAAAGCTAAAAGTCAAGTAAATTTTATTTATACAGCCGAATATCCAATGAAACAGTACTTATTTGTCATCTTAAACCTGTGTTTTTATTTTATAATACAGCTGCTGTTGTTTTAGAAACAAATGCTTCAATACCTCGTGGTGATCAGCAAAGTCAGCAGGTAAGAAATATAGAGAAAAGATACAATGGAAAAGTTATTAGACGATGTAAATATGCATATATGCAGTCTCATAAAATGTTTCCTTATGTTTGCGCAGAGAGATGAGGACTCATTGGCTTATTCTGCACCGAGCTTCATCACGAGGAAAACTGGCAAAGCAGAGAGAAGGAATGTAAAAACAGCAGAAGAGACAGTCTACTCTGGTGTTAGGGCTTTGTGATGGATTAACGATGGATTTACAAATAAAAGGTATTTGTTGTCTGGCACGCTGTGGGAAATCAGTATTCACATCTGATGTCGGGAATATATTTTATTTGCATCACTTTAAAACAGTTGCAATGCATTGTTTTGTATCTGTTTGTAATCATTGTTTGAAAAAATATTTAGTAAATAGATTAATAATGCTACTGCTCAAACAGGCTTTTAAAAATATTCAACTTGAAAAGTCTCTTATTTGATATGCAGTTTATGTTGTTACCCTCTTACTATGTGTATCAATGCAAAAAATAATTGTACTAAATGAAATTGATGACGTGTTGCCTACTTTCTTTAAAGACAAACTTAGATTGTAAAACAAACAGTTCACTTAATTTTAAGGTGCACCATTTTCAGTTATAATGGCATAATATTGAGCTTCATGTTTAAATTCCTAGCCATGATTTGGTTATTTTGAAAATAACTACTTGCAACGTGTGCAGGATGCGACTGGTATAATAAATTGAGACTGACTGAATATCTTGTTTGGTGTTTGTAACACGGTAGATACAATATTTCTAAAAGGTGAAATGGTAAAATATTTGTATGGTATTTTCTTACATATTTGAACAAAAAAAAACATACTAATATGTTACCACAAAAATCCAGAAGATGATAGAAATTCACTTGGAGCAGGAAAAAAGACACAGGGAAAACGTAGGACTGATGGACAGGCATAGATGACCTGACAACTGAAAGAGGCAAAACACATGGACTAAATACACAAAGAAATAATGAACCAATGAAACACACATAATCAGGGTGAAGAAGGCAATCGAAACTGGAGGGAAAACAGACAAAGACAGGAAGTGAAGCCAAACAAGAGGAGGAGTATTACAAAATGAAACAGGAAATAACTAAAGTTAACCACAAACCATGACATTACATGCTCCTTGCCATTAGGATCTCTCTCTCTCACTCACTCACTCACTCAGAGCAGAGCAGAGGGGTCTGTCCTAGGTTTCTGCCTTTTAACAGACAGTTTTTCCTTGCCCCCATCGCCAAGGTCTTGCTCATGCCCACTGTTGGGTCTCTGTAAATGTTATAAGGAGTTCGGTCTAGATCTGCTCTATTTGAAAAGTGTCCTGAGATAACTTCTGTTATGAATTGGCACTATACAAATAAAATTGAATTGAATTAAATGTTACACTGTGGGCCTTTAAATCAATAATGTATATTTTTCATAGTAGGACATGTTAAAGAAAATAACTATAAGTGCATATCCACTTTTGACCGTCCGTCACACTCCTACAACCATCCACCACTACGTGGTTCGGGCCTGCACCCAGACCAGGTGTGAACAGTGCACACTAGCAGGGAATGGAGCAGGAGTGCAAGTGGAGCATCATGCCTCAGCTTCATAAAGAAAAATATTTCATCTAAAAATTAAAAGAAAAGAAAGAATGAATGAATGTGATATATTTCTATGGGTTTATATTTTTATTTTTTTTATTTCCCTGGTGGTGGCCCTGGTTCAAGGTTTCCACAGGATTTGTATTTTTTTTTATCTTTTTAAAAGAGTATAGTCTATATAAAAAGGGCCCTGAGATAAATTATGTTAGGATTAGGTGCTATATAAATAGGATCTAATTGATTGAATTAATCTCCTAACCGTTCATCTAGCGCCATCAGAAGGTTGAGATTTTTGGTGTTTAAACTTCAAATTTAAACACTTTAAATCTAAATCTTTCTTTGAAAAATACACTGTGTAAAAAATGTTGGCGGACAACAACTCAGATGAAAACTCTTTCCTTCCTGGTCTCACAGCACTTTCTAAAGGCCTTCTGCATGTCTGCTGTGAGAACAAGCAAAGCCACATGCAACAGCTACACTGACTGAACGGCTGCGGTGGGCCATTTCTCCGTACTTTGACCAACCATCAAGGCTGTTTACTCAGAACAGACATGACTATGCTTCAACAGGATATGTAGCGAGGGTAACATTGCAAAGAGGAAAAAAGATAAGGGGAGGTTCCTGCAGGCTATTTTTCTTGCTTGAAAATGGGCTCATTCAAAGTACAACTGTTTTTAGAGATGCAACCAAAGGCAGCTACAATCATATGCATCAGCTGCCCTAAAATATCAAAGAGATGCATTTTAGTTCACGTTTTATTTTAATTTCAGTATAAATGTATTAATTTATTCAGGTGTCCAAATAGATAATCTGGCTAATTTAAATTAAGAAAACAGTTCAAACTCCTGTTCTTACCAAACAGATCTGTGTGGGACCAGTGAATGATTAGCACCTCCCCACTCAACCAATCAAAAGGACCAAATGGCAGAAAAGTGCAATACTGTAGTGTCGTTCCACCTTCCTTTTTAAAAGCAATAAAACAAACCCACCTTCCTGAGGCTACAGCAGAGTGAGAGGTAGAAAAGCCCCTTTGCATTCACACCTTATTTTGAAGCCCAACCACAACAATGCTAAAGTTTCCATGCGTCATTTGTTTGCCAAAGCTGACCTTGAATGCGTGTTTACATGTGTCTGTATGTGAAAGTACAAAGCAGAATACCTACATGAACAGTTAACAGTGGCCATCTTTCTGTATATTTAACTATGTATGTGTGTTATATGTACAAGGGCTGGACACTATTGTGTCTGTGAATGTGAATGTGTTAACTGTATGGTAATTTGTGTTTGTGTGTGTGAAACCTCAAGCAGCACTTGAGGTATTAAAAATAACTTTATCGTCAAACCATCATATCTTGGCTTGTGGTTGACAATATGATGACCCTGCTGAAGGCCACAAACCACAGACCGTCGGTCTGACCAATGTTACTTTTGACCCTTTTCTCCACTCTTTTTTACATTACTCTGTACACTGTTAGCTCTAAGATTGTCTTGCTGCCTCACAGCAAGGTCTGCGGTTCAAATCTATTATATTTGTGGTTTTCTCACAGTTTGGAGAGTTGTGACTCCCTCCTTCAGATAAAAACACGAGGGTCAGTTGAAACTAGAGATTTCCCACAGGTGAGTGTGTTTGTGATATGTGATAAAATGCTGCTCTGCCCCTTTTAATCTCCTGACTAGGAATTTAGCAGGTGGTTGGATAGTTTAACAACCCCCCTCCACTTTGTCCACTGTGCTCTTCCTTTTGATGGGTGGGCTGGCTGTATTTACTCTCTTCTCTTCTGTCCTTGTGTATTACTGTCACAAATACCTAGATGCATTTTTTAATATACAGTAATCAATTAAAGGACAATTCCGGCGCAAAATGAACCTGGGCTCAATAACACATGTGTACCGAGTTGGTCCGTTCTCTGGGATATGTTTTCATTCTAATCGACCGTGACCGGTTTTGGCACAAACCGCTAATTAGCTTATAACGCTAGTCAACGGGGCACCGAGTAACGTGAAAAGAAATCCCTTTTTATTCCACTAACAAGGCTCAAAATAGCACCACAGTTACACGGTAGAATAATGAGGGCCCCTATGTATAAACAGAAGCATTGAGAACTTTGTAAGTGTACAGACGGTTTATTAAAAAGATAGTTTAGAACAACAGTAGCGTTCGCGTATACAGGCGGGCGACCTCTTGTGTAAACAGTCAGGGGTTAGGTCATTGATGCAGATCAATGATCAAGATTTACAGCCGGCGATGTGAACTAAAACAAACGTAATTTGCTCAATATATCAGAAATAATCGCACCGATGTAAAACACAACTTGTCTAGTGTACTTTCTCAGCGGATAACTGTCCATCTGGTCCCTCTGCTATGAGTCGCTGCCTCCAATTTATTTTCGGGACATGGAAAAAAGTTTCGAGGACAGCTCTGTTTATCAGAGAGGGGAAGTCTCTTGGGTGTCCCGACGCAACAGGTCCCACTCCGTGCAACACAGGCACTCCTCTTCGGTGGCCATAGCTTCACAATGTCCGCAGGTACACCACCAGTTTCCCAAAGTATGAGGCTGTGTTGCGGGCATTGACTATCGGTAGCTCTCTCTCTCGTAGCCCTTTCACGGAGCTCCCGTCGCCCTTCGTCTGTGCTTTCTTCCGGCAACAACGTTTCACGCGAGATTCACTGCACATCTCCGTGGAAACGTTGTTGCCGGAAGAAAGCACTGAGCGCCTAAGAGACTAGTGCTTCCACAGGATGCACACTAAAGAGACGGCGGATTATTCAACTGAATTTGAAGACATCGACAACGAACCCTTTCAGTTTGATGGACGTCCTTATCTTTTCGAGCCTGAATATACAGACAAAGAGCGGCGGGAGCTCCGTGAAAGGGCCTTTTTTTCACGTTACTCTGTGCCCCGTTGGCTAGCGTTATAAGCTAATTAGCGGTTTGTGCCAAAACCGGTCACGGTCGATTAGAATGAAAACATATCCCAGAGAACGGACCAACTCGGTACACATGTGTTATTAACCCCAGGTTCATTTTGCGCGGAATTGTCCTTTAAATTATTATTTAAAGCTATGATTGCAGCTAAATTCCTGCAGTGGCCCGGGTTCGAATCTGACCTGCGGCCCTTTGCTGTGTGTCATCTCCTCTCTCTCTACCCCCTTTCCTGTCGATCTTCAGCTGTCTCTATCCAATAAAGGCATGAAAAGGCCCAAAAAAAGAAGCTATGATCAATCATTTACATCAACAATGGATCTCATTACTATCTGATTGGGTTCTGGGCCGCATGTAAAAACCACATTGATTGATTCAAGACATTTTTTCAGTTCAGTTAAAAGATTATTAGTCACTGACTATAGTTATATAAAATGTCTCCATATGTTAGTGAGTAGGATTTTCCTAAAAACATCTAGGCTCATACAAAAGTAATCCCTAATCTAAGAGTCACTAGAAATGTGTGTGTGTGTGTGTGTGTGTGTGCGTGTGTGTGTGTCTGCAGTGACTCTGCCTGATTTTTCTTATGTTGCTGTGTTCACAACATTTCTGGGCTTTGACCTTTGGGCAGTGGGTGTGTAGCTCCCAAACAATAACAGCGAGAAGGTTGTGATAGTAACCAGGTGCCAGATCATAAGCCATTACACAAGCATGCATCCTTCATCATAAAACAGTGTGTAACGTTTAGGAGGATCTATTCGCAGAAATGAAATATAATATTCATAGTATGTTTTCATTACTGTATAATCATCTGAATATAGAAGTCTTTACATTTTTGTTACCTTAGAATTTCTAGTTTATTTCTAGATGCTGTGGGTCGCCTTCTACGGAGTCTGCCATGTTGTTGCAGTTTAAACACATAGGCCTGTGTTTAAATAAATATTACATGCAATACATTCATATTTATCATTACGTTAGATTAAAGATGTGGACTCAAATGCAAGACTGATTCAGAGTTTGGTGAAGTTAAGTTTTATTCCAGATAAAGGGTGATGGTGATTATGAGAGGGTTGAGGAGATGGCTTACTGCAGATAGCAGGCTGGCAGGCAGGCAGATGAGGAGTAACTCCCATTGAAGACAGAAGGCTCTGGCAAAGAGTAGATGGAGCACTGGGGTAGATATACTGTTGGGTAGATGAGTTGATCGAAGGCAGGTGAACAGACTGGGGGAGTTGATTGCTGATAGGTGTGTGGAGCAGAGCTGGAAGGCAGGAGGGAAAACCACACCCATGACACACAGACAGGAGACACAAGGGAGGGGGAAACGCAAGAAAAAGACATTTAAAGGCATTTAGTATCAATACCCACCCGGTAATTATGTAGCTAATGAGAAAGAAAAGAAATCATTGTAAACTGTATCTTCTGTTTTTGACTCATCTGATTTACACTGAAAGATGGCAGTAATGTAAAAGAATGAGCAGGTTAAAAACATGTTTTGATCAAATCTAATGAAATCACAACCCCATTGGTATTAGAGTCATGATTTAGCATTGCTTAATTCATGTTCAATACCAAGAAGACGTAGTGTGCTAATCATGTAACATGTCATCATTGTTTATTTGTTCTTCCACAATCCAATCTAACCTAAACTGAGTAATTTTAGATGCTTAACCTTAACCATGCTGTAAAGATAAATAGTGATATAAGGTTTGCAGAATTAATCAACATCAACATTAAGACTATACTGCACCCATGAATCACAAAAATATTAGCATCTGCCATGTATAATGAATAAATATGGTAGTGTATGAAAACACACTAAATAAGACAAACATGTACTGAATTTGGTCATATACTCTCTTCTTTGTTCCCCTTTCATAAAATTCCCCTAATACACAAACCTCACAGTATGGGATGAAAAGTCACATCAAGATCAAATTAAATCATGTCAGTTTCAGTGTCAATTGTAGAAACCCACCATGAAACATGAAACAACAGCTTGCTGTTGGTGTTGTTTCAAGTGTTTAGGTTGGAAAGATGGTTTATTTTTATTTCCACTGTGGTAGCACAGCGAAACACTGACAACGAGAGGCCAATCAGATTGCTCTACAATTGTTTCCTCCCACTCGATATGATTACAGAAAGATGAATCATTTCCTAATGCACTTTAAATTAACGGCAGTCTCAAGTGGAATAACCAGAAAATGCTGATTCTACTGTATTTGGTGCTGATGCTCAGAGTGGGGCGTAAGTATGTGTAGAAATGTCAGATTTAGTCCAGATTTACATTTACAGCATTTTCATCCTCTTAGGAGAGGGCATACATGATTCTTACTCTGTTGTTAATTTAAGATAATGTCTTTTCAGGATGCACAGATTATCGGCTCTTTGAGACAAAGATTGTTGGTGTTGGAGATGACCTGAAACTAACATGTCCCCGCGAATCTTCTGCAACCTCCTTTTGGATCAGACTTGTTTCTGGAAACCTTCCCGAAGTCTTAGGAAGAACATTTAAAACTGAGAGTGCTGATCCTAGCATTACAGTCTCAGGAGAAGCTGGAACATTTGTTCTGCAGATTAAAAACGTAAAGCGAAGTGATACTGGAATTTACGTCTGTTTTAAAACACAACAAAAGTGGATATTTTTGAAAACTGTGGACCTGAGAGTTGAAGGTAATAACATTAAAACAGCTTTCAAATTCTTTTAATACATTCATTATGATTTCCATTGTTTCTATAACTTAACTTCTTTAACTTACTTCCCTAATTCATTAAGTAAGAAACAACTTTATTTGAAAATTTATGTTGCTTATATCTGTTTCTTGTTTTTGATTTGTTTTCAATTTCCCAGGACCAGAATCTGATATCACTGCAGTCCCTCCATCTGATCCAGTCCGTCCAAGAGACTCTGCAACTCTTCAGTGTTCAGTCCTCTCTGACTGTGAGAATCAAACATGTCCAGGAGATCTCAGTATGTGCTGTTTCAGAGTTGGATCAAATGAATCTCATCCAAGTTTGAATTATACTCAACAAAATAGTGCTGAAGAATATGAAAACAACCCTGACGGACTCTCAACAAAGAAATGTATCTTCAAGAACGTCAACTCCTCTGATGCTGGGACTTATTACTGCGCTGTGGACACATGTGAGGAGATATTTTGTAGAAACAGGTCAAAACCCAACCCTGAAGGTAACTATTATAATTCTATATAATGGAGAAATTAGCATATTTGTCTGTTGATTTAGGTCAAGTATTTGCTCTTAATGTACAAATAATAATCGAAATTAACTATATTAATTGTAATTATACTTGTACTAATTGTTAACTTTCATTATTTGCTCCTCTTCATATTGTGTCAGGAGCCAACGAGAGCGATTCGCAGAAGACCAGTACAGTTCTGATTCTGTTATGTGCTTCTTTGGCTTTAAGTCTGCTGTTTATAGCCTTTCTCATGTATTCAATCAAGAATCTCAAGAAAAATTCTTGTCATTGTTGCAATGGTAAGCAAAGTCATAGAATGGATCAATCAGATCTGTCAGTATTTAGCAAAACTTAATTCAGATCAATGCTGTCTTTTCACTTTGTAATACAGATGCTGTCGCTCTGCAAACAAATGCAGCCACAGCCAGTGCTGTTCACCAAAGTCAGCAGGTAAGGAAAAAAAAAGAAAAAATTTAACTGGAAAGTTATCAGGATGTTATTTCTCTGATTGTGTAAATGTCGTTATCTGCTGTCTCATCACATTTCTCTATATTTTCTGTCAGATAGATGAGGACTCATTGGTTTATTCTGCTCCAACCTTCACCAGTCGGAAATCTAGAAAAGCAGAAAGAAGGGATGCAAAAACAGAGGAGGAAGAGAGTATCTATACTGATGTCAGGACTTGTGGGTTGGAGTAACAGTGGATTTGATTTGATCCTGGTTTTATCTGCACTTTGTGGGAGATGTACTTTTTTTAAATTTTGTATAACTTATACAACATGTATTATATTTCATGTCAAATGAATCCCCATGATGCAAAAATATATTATAATATAATAAATACAGCAATAGATGCTGTAAGGATCTGATATCTGTAAGTCTTTGTTTCGTTGTGAGTCGTTATTAAAGTTATAACTCTTTCTTCTTTCTCTGCTGTTCCTTTGTACACATCATTTCTGTCAATGCTTTTCAAAGGTATTGTTTTAGGAATTGGTGGTTGTGTAGATGCAGTATATTGCTTCCTTCTTCATAAATTCATGCATGTTATGACAAGATTTGACACCAAACCTATTAAAGACACAACTTTTAACCTTTACTGCACTGTTTTTCAGTGTGACATTCATGACTGCAACATAACAGAGACTATCTAAAGTAACACCTCAGTAGGCTCAAATACTGATACTCTGCTTTCATAATGTTTTCAAAATTGTAATTTAATGTTACTAACTAAATATGCTGACATGTTAACACACATACAATCCAGATTTAAGATCATATTGCAAAGCTGAAAAATTCATCCACACCCGACTATGACAAATAGAAACTGAAGCCAGTCCTGAGGTTGGCCCAGAAGCTGTGCATCCTGTGTAACGGCAGTATAACGACTTCGCTCACAAAGGTCGCCGCAATTCAGGTCAAAGGCGAACAAAGTTTTAACATTTGGCGCTGTATACCACAGTGTGTAAGGCCATTTCACCCATTTTTCCAGGGACCCAGAACCCAGAATTGAATCTCGTGGCACTCCATAGAGAAAGGTTAAAAAACATTTTTTTTATAGGCCAACTGTTGATATCTTCAGGCCAGGTCAGGAATGATTTTCCTTACTTTCAGCCTTGCTAGCAGCATCACTCCTGTTCCTGACTTTTCCTCTAAAATGAATGACATTCCCATCAGCCTCAGCTGTGTTTAGTGGTCATTAACAGTTCAATGTGTAGCATACCAACATGACAGTGTACACCACCATCAGAAACTCTTAACAATGGGGTGCCTTGGTAAGTCTGGAGCCCCATCTACCAAGAAAGTGTCCTTTCTGTGGCAGTGGCCATGGGTTCTAGTCTGACCTGTGGCCCTTCGCTGTGCTTCATCCTTTCACTTTCTTCCCCTTTACTATCTGCCTTAAGCTGATCTATCAATAAACTCAAAAAGCCTCTCCAGAAAAAAAAAAGAATGAATAAGACTAAAAAAATATATAACTACCACATAAATATCGGTCTCAGATAATGGTTTCTAATAAAGACTGGGTGCATTTTGCTTTTTTATGGGTATTGGCTACCAAGCTAGCTAATCTAGCTAGGTACCTCTTAATATAATTCACTCAAGGGGGTAAACACAATTTGGTTATGTTTTTAAACCTTTTATTCTGTTTTTATGTGTTGAAACAAAATGACAAGGCCTACATGTTATAGGACTTGCCATGCATGGTAGATTTCATCATGTCACAAGATTATTTTAGCACCTTATCTTGGAGAATTAAGCCCCCTGGATACCCAGAAGTGAAATACCTATGTAATTATAACTTTATTAACAACAGTTTGATTGAATCACAGGCTAAAATCCTCTTAATCTAACAAAGATTAAAACCTGGCCTTGCATAGCATAGTTAGCTTCAACCTCTACAGTTTAAATGTAAAAAGCATACTGAGTGTCAGGATCCCACAATTGTCCAATTCTTCGTGCTGATGCTCCACGTCTTATTGCTTGTATCCACTTTTGCCCTAAAGTTTTTTAGTTACTTAGTTCTGGGTATTTTACCCTGTTAGTAGTGCACACAACAGCTTTATGCAATACAAAGAAAATGGAGAGAGATTCATTGTTTTCCCCTCCAGTGTGTGTCTCTATGGTTCCATCTCTACAGACATATACAACATATAGTCCAATAGCAAGTAAAGGTACCAGGACGAAGTGAACCGTAAACTTGTGCTACCTTCAAATGCATCGTCGTGTTTACCGTGTTCACAAGAAGAGTCCATATGTAAGTATATAAGTACTTGTGGTATTCAAAACCTTGTTAAGTGGAAATTTTCTGAAAGGTCTGAGCAGGTTACATAATGGGAACACAAACAGTGTCACATATTTTATACATTTCACATAAAAGATATAAACATGTATTATTATTTATTGTAACTCAGTAGATAGTTTAACATCAGTTTCATTTTATTCTCATTCTTACTTTCTGTTCACTAAAAAATGTCAGTCAAAGTAAGGTTGCCTAGCTTTGGTTGTTATTGGCTGTATCAGTCCACACAGACGTCTGAAGTTCTGCAGCGCAGTCAAAGCCACAACCTGAGCAGACGAGTGTTACTCGAGTTATAAACTAGTTAAGCTGAAACGAGTGAAAGTGGATAAACTAAATTACCACGACCTGGAGATGAGACGTAGGTGAAGTGGAAGAGGTGATTCTACGATCTGTGTGCCAGGAGTTAAATGCTTTTGACTGACTTTCTGACTAAAGCCAGCTGAACGGACGACAACTAAGGCAAAAACTTGGACTTGAATTAAAGAAATCCTGAACTCTATTAATCCTGAACTCTTTTACATATCAAAGACATTTTCTGTTAACTGTGTTGAATATCACCCTTCTCAGGTGTTTTATGTTAATTTGTACCCTAAAACACTGTGAACCGTTATTTTGTTCCATAGTGCTGGTTTGGAAAAGAACTTGTTATTTTCACAATACAACTTTCAATACATTCACATTTGAAGTTAAAGTACCATGTGGCTCCAGTTGCCTATTGTGTTTGTCATTCTCTTTCAACTCCTCCTACAAACCTAGACACTGGTCCTAAATATATTTGAGTATATGTGGGTAACAGTGTCTATATCTTTTTCACATGGAGGAGAACTGACAAGTCACAGTATTGATGATGAAACAGAAGGAGGAGCTAGTTTCAGTAGCCTGGGCCCA